TATATATATATTTATATATATATATATATATATATATATATATATATATACATATATATATATATACATATATATCTTTCTCTCTCTGTATATATAATTTGATTACAAATATATATATATATATATATATATATATATATATATATATATATATATATATATATATATATATATATATATATATATATATATTATATTTATATATATATATATATAGGGTTGAAAATTTCCGGAAATTTTCTGGAAATTTTCCGGAATATTTCCGGGAAACCTTGCTTAAAATTTCCGGAAATTTTGAATTTTTTTTTTTTTAATTTTTAACTTAATACTATGTATTAAAGAAAATTGCAAAGAATTAAGCGTCAAATCTCTTAAAAATGAGATAACTGTCATTTTTTTTTTTTGCTTAAATACATGAAAACTAAAAACCTCAAGACGTTACGGAGAAAATTTAAATTTTAAGTTTATTTAAAATTTCTAAGTCGTTTAAAATCTAATAAAAAAAGAAATTTATTAAAAACATGCTATCTCTATAGGCACAAAATCTTTTTATATATATATACATCTTTCTTTAAGTATTTTTAATAGAGTTGGAATTTTTTTACAAAAGCTTATTAATACCTGTAATATATACACAAAAACTGCATAAAATTGAATGCTGACAAAACCGAGTTCATACTTACCGGAAAAAAGGAAATTAAAAACCGCACAATATCGAACAAATAAAACTTCACGATAAATTAAGTCATCTAGGCTTTATATGGGACACCTTTCTTAAAATCCGGGCAGTAATCCAAACTTTAGTTCAATCTGGAATCCGTTTTGTTCACCCAAATTCCTTTGTCCAGTTATATAAAACTTTGGTTGTTCCACTACCTTATGGTCTAAGCTTTGTGAACATAAAAAAATATTAATGCGAAAGCTTGATATAGTTGGAAGAAACGCACTGAAGTCACTCCTTAACGTTTTAAAACATTGCATAAATTTTATTCCTCCCTTATTTTTTATTGAGTATGTATCAATAATTACACAACAAAACAAGCTAAACTTATTTATTCACCTGAAGAGCAATAAAATGACATTTAATATTGTAAAGTAGCAGCTGAAAAACAAAACAGCTTCAGAACCTTTTTTAGGTAGTGTCAAAGGTTTGTGCAATAGTTATGAACTAAATCTAGAGAAAATAATGCAAAGTAAAAAAAAAAATCGTTGACTTAATAGATGTAATTCCTGAAACGGATCTTCAAACTCTAAAATGAGCAGTTGAGTTCTGGGACTCAAAGGAACAAAAAAACAATCTTCAAGGACATTCTTGAAAAAAAAAATTCTTAGATGATCATGTTTGAATGAAAATCTTGATAAAAAAAAAAAAAAAAACTTTAAGATTTTTCATTTATCCTGAACTAAACTTTAATTTAGCTTACTTGTATAGTGGGTTTTTAACTAATAAATAAAAATAAAAAAATAATTTTATATATATATTTTATTTAAACTCCCCAACTAGACTATTATTAAAAAATAGCATGTTTTTGCAAACGTTAATGCTTAGCCATTTTCATGGTATGTGAAAGTCAATACTATCTTCACTTGAATACTCACTATCGTATTCGTTATCATCATAATCATCATTATCGATTGATAAGCAGCTGTGATTTTTTTGGCTTTTTTCATCAATGTTTTTTGTTTTTAAACATGAATGTTTTATCTTTTTAGAATTACGTTTAGCCAATTTATTCTGCATTTTCAAATTATAAGCAATAAATAAAAGCTTTGATGCTCTTGTATCGGTTAGGCGATTTCTTACTTTAGATTTTTGCAATGAAAACTCTTTGTTTGCACGCTCAACAGATACAATGCTGCAGTTACAAGACAATAATATTAATGCAATTCTATTCAATAATGTTGTTGGTGCATATGCTTTCCACCATGTGACTGGATTACAATCTTCATTAAGCTTCCAAATATAGCTGCGATTATCCTGGCTAAATATTCCACTACGAGCTTTGAAACTCATTAATTAATCCAATATTATATCAGTGGCTAGTGTTTCATTTTCAGCTGTTCTGAATACATGCTGCTCAGCTAAAAGCATTTCTGAATGATTTAACTTTTGACCAACAAATCTTGGATCAAGTAAATTTGCTCCAAAGTGTATCGGTCTTACAACAAAGTCTTCACGCTTTTTAATGCAAGTAATGATATCCTCTTTTTGATGTAAAGTCAAAAGTGTTGAGTTTTGCAACACATCAGATATCTCAGTTATTACATAAAAAAAGACTTGTGGAACAATAGATACTGACGCTGCATCACTCTCTGATTCCAAAATGGCTTCTGATATAGGTTTCAGAAGTTTGAAAATTAAATCTTTTTCCAAAAGGTTTCATTCAAAACTAATTCCTTTAAGTCAATTCCTTTTTTATTATTATGTTTGTCAAGATACTTTTGTGCTTTTTCATCAGTTACTGCCAGTCGCAATGAATCACGGAGTAGAATATTGCGTTGTAACATATAAAATTATGATGAACATCTTGTTACTACAGGAAGAATTAAAATAAAACTTTTATTCAAGGAGTGTAGGCTACAACGCTCAACAATACTTTTTAGACTGTGCTTACTTTTAAAAAACTTAACTAGTTGTTTATTTTGCTTCAGTGTTTCCGAAATTATTTTGTTTTTATTTGCAAGATCACAAGCTAATAAATTTAGGCCATGAGAAAAACAGCCATATGCTGACGTCCAATCATATTTATTTTCTATTAATTTCCAATCTGCTACCATGTTAGCTGCATTGTCAGTGCAAAAAGCTTTTATTTTTCTTTTGTTTGATATAATATTTTTATCTTCAATAATCTCAACAATTTGATTGAATATGTATTGTCCAGTGTGGGAGTTTTCTTTTGGATGAATACTTCTGATGTATATTGGAGTTGGAGTAGCTAACATAATCTGTATATGTGAATCATTACTTATACAAGACCAACCATCTGTCATCAGAACAAAAGTTTCTGACTGGGATATTAAATCTTGTATGAATTTATTTACTTGGTTATATACTGTGTCTAAAAGATTGTGACTCAGGGCATAACGATTGGGAGGTGACCAACCTGGTCGAATCTTTTTAAAAAAATTAGCCCAGAATGAATTTTCTGACATTCTGAAAGGGCTGGCTGTTGCATAAATTGCTTGCATATTGTATATTTATTTCATCACACTCTTGTGTTGAAACTTTATCAAAAAAATATGATATTGATTTTTGATTGCTAGTATATATAAAAGTTGAACAGAAAGCCTTTTTTTCTTCTAAAATATTTGATAAAGAACATTCTTGTAAATCAGAATGTAATTCGTTATTAGCCACATTATTGTGGAACTGGTTCCTGACTTTCTCTTAAAGATGGCATAATTGTTGTCACAGCAATCAATAAAACAATCATTTTCTATTATTAAATCTGACACACCTGCATTATTTGTTGTATTTGTGTTGAGTTCAATTTAAGATTTAACTAATAATATTCTGTTTTTTGTTTTAGGAGCAAAACTTTGTTTCATAACATCTGTTGCAAACTTTTTTTTTACAGCTTTTGGAGATTTAGTACAATCTGTAACTAAATGTTTTTTAGCTCGTGTAGAGTTTTGTGTGCAAAATTTTGCATTGCAATATGTGCAAATAAATGCTGTTTTCCCATATTGACATATTTTTTTTTTTTAAAGTGACCATTCCAGACTTGATCTAATTCTCTAGGCATAATTGTTGCTAAAAAAAATTTTACAGTACAAAAATAAATGAGAATAATTTAAAATGTATACTTAGTTTAGAAAAGCAGTTCATACCGACTGCAAATCTAATAAATAATTTTTATTCAACACTAATTTATTATTATCATTATAGCTATAGTACTAATATACCTATAAAGTATTTTTGTAATGTTTTTATTGTTATTATTTCAAAAAGAGTAAAAAACTTATTTAATTATATAACATATATAATGGCAAGTTATTTGTTGTTTCTCTTGTATCACCTATTCTTTGGTTTAGGTTGACAGCTTTATATAAATCATTAAAAAATGTCAAAAAGGAATGTTTGTGTAGCAATCATTTCAGATACTATAAAGTTATGCATCTATAATATTATAAAGTTTTAATACTACTTAAAATACTATAAAGTTATACACCAAAAAATTAATAATATTCCACTTTTACCAATTCATAATATTGTATAAAATATATAAGTAAATAAGTTATTTACTTATCTATTTTATTTAAAAAAGCTGTTAGTATTTTAATTTATAATCATATTTTTATAATCATCATCATCATCATCATCATCATCATCATCATCATCATCATCATCACAATTGTTATAATAATTGTTGTTGTTGTAATTATTATTTTTACCATTATTACCATTAGATTTACTTTAGAACTACTTACTAATATTATTAGTGAATACCTAGGTATTTATTTCTGAAATTTATTAGTTTATTTATATAAACCTTCTTTATTAAAACAGTAAAATTATGGTAAACATATAAAAATAATCAGAGAAGCCCTGAAATTTTTTTTTTTAACAAGTATTTGAAAATTTCCAAAATTTCCGGAAATTTTCCCGACTTCAAAATTTCCGGGAAATTTTCAACCCTATATATATATATATATATATATATATATATATATTATATATATATATATATATATATATATATATATATATATATATATATATATATATATAGAGAGAGAGAGAGAGAGAGAGAGAGAGAGAGAGTAAGAGAGAGAGGTAAGAGAGAAAGAGATACACAGAGAAAGAAAGAGAGTTCTGAAGTCAAAACAAAATTAATCACCCATGTTGAATTAAGCAGTAAGGAATTTATTTCTATGCCTGAACACAAATATTTTTTAATAAAAAAGTGAATAATATCTAGTTCACTTTTTTATTAAAAAAAAATTGTGTTTTTGAAGAATAGAATTTCATACTTTTTATTTATCCATAGATTTTGTTGTAAGTTTATAAGCACTGCCTAATTATTTTTTATTTAAGAGCAAGATTTAAACTTGCATTTTTTCCAAAACTCTTTTGATAGCTCATTGTCATTTTTATGCTTAAGATATTTTATATGGTTGTTTATAATATGACGAATGTGTGCATTTAAAATCATATTTGGCATTTTATGGAACTTGTGATTTATAGGGAAGTGAACAGTTTAAAATTATAATTGCAGCCAATTTTTTTCTTCTTTAAAAATGCTTATAAAGTGCAGCAATGTACAGGCTATGTGTTTAGTGACATTAGATATCTATTTGTTAATAATGTATTTAACTAAAAGTATATTTTTATCAGGCACTTCGATCTTTGATCTAAACATAGGGAATGTGACACACATAAATTAAATATTTCCAATTTCCATATAATTAAATTTTAACTAGCCTTTAATATTTTAATTTCTCTAAGTGAACATGTCTTAAATGAACAAAAAACTAAGAAGTTTGGCTTTAAAATTCTGCAAGTTTCAGAAATTTTTCTTGTATCCTGTTTATATATAATATTGAATTGTTATGGTTTTTTGTGAGATCGTTTAGTGTTTTTGCCAGAATTTGATTTGCAATGGCCATGTTTTTGTCACATTCTATAAAGGTGTCATGCTTATACAGAATGTGACACAGTTCTAATTTGTAATGAAATAGTAATGCTGTCACGTTTTTCAGTTTTATGAACTAGATAATTAAATCAATCTAAAACTTTTCATTTTATATTTTGACACATAAGCTGCAAATCATCTTAATATCCTTTACATTTGAGATAATTGATAATTTAAAATCATGCAGCATAAATCATGCAGCATAGAACATACATCAGACCATCTGTGTCTAACAGTTTCATCATAACAATAAAAATATAATTTTTGAGTTAAAAGTATAAAAATAAAACAGCTGTTACCTGAAATAGTATACATATTGGTTTTAAACGTTTAGGCATTTTTTTGTTTTGTTTTGGGAAATCCAAGTAAATTATTTCACAATTAAAAGCGTGTTGAGTTGGAAGACATGTAGCTCTTTTCCTCTATTATAACATTAAAAGCTTTTCTCTGATGGAGCTGAAGCAATACATCCAAAACATTCTTTATTTACAATATATTGTTAGCAGAATCGAAATCAGAATATTATTGAGTCTATTTTTTGAGGTACACCTTATTGTACTTTTTGTATCCTAAAAAATAAGACTCAATAATATTCTTTGTTAGGATACAAAAGGTACACCCTATGAATTAAAATATACATACATACATATATATATATATATATATATATATATATATATATATATATATATATATATATATATATATATATATATATATATATCCGACATATTTTTCTTAAGGATAAAAATTAGTCATGTGACTTACGCTTTTATTATCATTGGTTAAGTTATAAACATAAATATCATAAATATATATAAAACTTTAAATTTTCAAAAAGTGGAAATCTGTGGTTTTACCCGTGTGGTCTTCATATGTTTTTATTAACTGAATAATAATAATTAATGATTAATTAATAATAGTTTTTAAGTAAAGAGTTATTTTTTGATCAAAGTGTTTTTCATTTCAGTATAAATGAGAAACACAATACCTTAGCCAATACAAATACAGAATCCACGACAAAGAACAATTTTATTGCATCCATGGATATCGCCAGTAAAAAGGAACACATAAAAATATTAAACGACAACTTACTTATTGAACCTGAATGCAATTCATTAAAGTATTCATTGAAACCATCTACAATTTCTTGTGCAGTTTCTTTTAACGAAAAGCTTTTTTCTGATCCTATATGTCATAATAGACGTGTATTAAATTTAAAAGAGGACATAAAATTAGATTCTGAAGTTACCGAAGAATCTTTAAATTGGAACTCTGAAAGGGAATCTTTAAATTCTAAAGAAGAAAACAGTGAAGATTTAGATATAACTACTGAGTTGGAATGGGACTTACATGAAGATTTAGGCAGGATTCGAGATGTAGGATAGTTAATGTTTTATTCGTATTTTTTTATTTTTTTTATAAATATACTTTAGTTTTTATTTTTCTATAAATTTTCATTTTCTTTTCTTTATTTTTTTACCTGTAGTTATATCATTGTTTGGATTATGTTGTGTCATGTTCATTTATTAATATTGTGTTGTTTCTTTCTTAGTTCTTATTTTTCTGCAGATCTGCAGGCGCGAAAAATCATCATTATATTATAATGTACAAATTTAAAGGAATAATTTTAAAGTTCTGTTTATAAATATTAAAAATATTGTATAAATGTTTCATATAAAATGTTCATAAGATATTTGAGACGTTGATGTTTTGAGAAATATTATTAGTATTTTTTATTATTATAAATATTATTACTATTATTTTTATTTATTTTTTTGTAACTCATAACAAAACCAGAGTACTGTTTTTCTTAAACGTTACAAAAAATAGCGATATAAAAGTAGAATGTTACGCAAAAAAGAGAATGGAATTATCTTTTTTTTTTCTTAAAAAAAAAATACATTGACTATTGGAATTTATGCTGTTGCCAGAAATTAAAATTTTCCTGTTTATAAGTTTTGTTTCATATGTTCATCCATGACCTCATCATAATCACCTAAAAATTCTTCGTTTAAAAACAAAAACGGCAGTTGTTTAAAGTTTGTTTTCTCGTATAATACTTTTCTTTCACTTGAGTTTAACTCCAAATCAGCAGCTATTAAAAGTACATTTTCAGATATATTTTCTTTTGCAACTTGAACCATCTGATCTTTGCAATAATGATCCATTATGTTTTTCGAAGTTGCGCTGTAGTAAATTTTTACTTCATCTGTAATGGATATATCATTTTTAGATCGACAATATTCTTTCAACTTATTTGAATTTTCAGTAAGGTTAACCTCTTTTTTTTCCACATCGTTGATAGTTAAACGGAACGGGCTACCGGGTATAGGTTTTTCACTCCAAAAAACTTCTATTTCGTAAATCCCTGGTTCTGTAGGTGTGTATAATACTTCATGTAACAAAGATGTAGGTTGCAGTTTAGTTTTAACACAAGGTACTGGTATCGACATTGCTGGACATGTAATGCATACGCTTAAAGGACCGCGCTCTGTATTTGGCGTCGAAACATTAAATGCACTAACCACTCCTACTTCGCCGCTTATAAGCCCTTTTCCATATGCCTTCATTGTGGCAGTTTCTTGGTTTATAAATTTTCCCAGTTTTCTATAAATATCGCGAGTTTGCTTATCGAGCCAGGATGGTGCGGACTTAATATCCGTTGATTTTGAATCTAAATTTTCGGAAAAATTGCTTTTCGAATCATTTTCTTCTAAACAATTTGTCAATGTTTTAGTAGTTAACTGTATATTTTCTTGATCAAGATTTATATTGATTTCTTCGTCAGATAGACGGTTTGGCATTAAGACTGTTTCTCGTACACTAAGTCGAAAAGGACTGTCTTCTATATGATCTCCTCCACAAAAAATACTAAGTACATACTCTCCCGGACGAGTGGGTGTGTATCTAACTATGTAGCTTGATTCTTCTATAGGTTTTATTTGAAGTTCAGGTTTATATAGAGCAACTCTGTGATCGTAAGGGCGACATTCTATTGAAACAGATAGATCACTTGCTTGTGCTCCATTTAACCTCACAATAAAATCAGTTGGTCGTCCAACCTGCCCCCAACGTAAACCAGCACCAAAAGCTAAACATCTAGGAGACTTATATGGTATTCCAAGTTTTTTATGAAGCGCTTTGCTTCCATCTTTATCAAATATGCTTTCAGTTTCGCTTTCCGACATGCTAAAGTCACTCGTATATGTTTTTGTTTTTATTCCTCGCCGAACCATTCTATCTGCACTACGAAATATTGCTATGTATGTTATCATAGACTTCTCGTCCACATTTCCGTTTGCAATATCGTAAGGTGCAATTAATTCAGGTATACCAAGTTCATCTTCTGCAGTTGTACAAGCTAAACGAACGTTCATTTCTGGGTTATACTTATTCTGAAACATAGTTTGAGGTATTGTATCCGGGCGTATTGCGTTAACTAAAAGACATAATGCAATACCGTCTGTCCAATCGCTAGTAAAGTTTTCTATGCGACAATTTGGAATTTTAGATTGAACCCATTTAAGTAGATTTCTAGAAACGCGATTATAGTCCACGTTTAATAACGTCATATCTGTAATTGTTTCATCAAAGATTTGATACCTTAAAATGATTTCCCAAAGAATAAAAGTAAGCGAATGAATAATACTTGCTTCGTCACTATTATCAACTAAAAATAAAAAAGAAAAGAATTTCAAAAAAATATACTTACAAAAAAGTTTTTATATTAAAAAAAAATTCCTACGTTGTCGAAAAAAAAACACACACACAAAATACCAAACTATAATAAACAAATTCAGCGAACGAAATTCATTCGCATTGAAAACAAAAACCTTTAATCATTTGCAATACTCAACAATGAAATAATTATAAATCAGACATTTGAATATTTGCACCTTTTTTGGCTCAATTGTTTAATTTAATTCTTTATATGTCTATTCATAATCTGGTTTATCATAAATAATTGTTTCTAAAAGCTATTGCTCTCGATGACTTTAATTTACCGTAGGACACGGTAAATAAATTATTATGCAATCTTTTCTAAGTTAAATTCTGAATTTTTTTTAGTTAGGAATTGTGGTTTAATAATATTTTATATGTTTTTTTAGGTCAACTTTTTAAATCAAATTTTTATTAAATTTTATTTGCGTCCATGCCAATAACTTAGTCGTGTTTTTGCTTTAAATACAAAAGATGCTAACCGTTATTAAAAGCATATTATATATAATACAGTTTAAACTTTGATAACTAATTAGTCTTATTATATCGATGGCCGTTTTTAAATGACTCGATTTAATCAGAACTTAAAATAAATAAATAAATATACAATAAAAACTTAAAAAAATATATTTTAAAAAAAAGATATTTTCAAGAGTTTTCACTTACAACTTCATTTTTAAAACAATGCCTGTAGCTTTATTTGAATAAAATAATAAACGTTTCATTGATACACTAACTAATTAAAGTAAACTTCTTTAATATCGGTTAATGCTAATTAAATTTTGAATTGTGTTTCAAATCAAAAGTATAATTAGATGATTATTTAAATCTATGGACAACGTTCGTTATAATACGTATGGAAAATACAATTTGTACTGTGGTAACATCGATAGATAACATAACACGGTAAGTAACAACAACTTATATCTTTTAAAAAAAGGAAATTAATCAAGAGCTATAAATCAGTATCTTCAATAATCTAACAAATTTGTTGTAAAAGAGAATAGTTGATATATCCTCTACCTTGAAAATTAAAAAATAGACAATATAACATTTTTTTTTGGACTATAATTTTTGCTTGAGATTAAGTCTTTTTAAACTAGAAAATATTTTGTCGAGCTTATTCGTGAGACCTATAAGAAGCCATCGTGTGTTTGTGTGTGTGTGTGTGTGTGTGTGTGTGTGTGTGTGTGTGTGTGTGTGTGTGTGTGTGTGTGTGTAAAAAAGAAGTTTTCAAATTTTTTATACAATTTCATTGTTGCAACTGTGTCATAATTTGGATAACAAAATAATCATTCGTAAAGTTATAAAAAGTTTCAAACCTAGTTGGCTCTATATAAACAAAATAAGCATAAAAACCGAATTTGCTCTCTCTATATATATATAAAGTATATATAATATATAAAATATATATAAATATTAATCTATAAAAAAGAAGCATTAACTATTTTTTAATTTTTAATTTTTGAAAAATATCTATTGTTTTTAACAACAAAATACAAATTCAAAATTGCTGAAAAAAAATCTTAAAATTTTATTCTTAGAGTTTAATTATTCTTAATTTTAATTTATCAGTGAATTAAAAAAATAACATTTTAATATTTTTAGTTCCAAAATTATTGTTCTTTAAATCAGGGGCGGGTATTGCAATTTTTGGTCTTTGAGATAACGATGATTGGAGCCTAGGAACAAAAAAACCCTAAAATTTTTGCCCACTACCCACAACGCGAGAGCAACAAGTTGATAAAATATTTGCTATATTAGTTTCAACTAGACTCACATTCACTGATAAACTTTAAACTTCATAGTGTAATATTTCAGCATTCAAAAGTTATGATCATATAAAGTTTGAACCCCCTTCAAGTTGAGGGGTTTATAAATTATATATGGTCATAATATTTGAACACTAAGAGATTATACTATGAAAGTTAAAATTTATTGATGAATGTAAGTCTAGTTGAGAAAAGTAAAAAAAAATGTTTTATCAACTTGTTGCTCTCACGTTTGGGGCAGGAGGGAGTGCAAAATTTTTGGGCTTTTTTGTTTTCAGGTTCCAATCGTGGAAAATTTTTGCAAAGTATCTTTATTTGATATAAGAATAAACATATTAATGTTTGGAGTTTGCTCCATGTCTGGAAGTTAGCTATCTCAAAGACCAAAAGTTGTAATTTTTACCCCTACTTTAAATTATAGTTCCTTTAATTTAGTCACTAAAAACGTGTAAAACACTAATTTTCACAGCAAGAACTTTAATTTTGATTAATTTATCTATTATGCGTAATCAGAGCTCGCGAGTAGGTGTCACGTAGGGGGGTGCAATTACAACTTTTTCCGACTAAAAACAAAAAAAAGGTCCTCGTTTTTTAAAATTTGCCGACTGCCTTAACGACATTTACCGACTGACTGTCTAAGCTTACCGACTAACTTGTCAAAAGGGTCTACATTTGCCGACTAACTAGTCAAAAAGATTTAAATTTGCCAACTAAATGAACGAAAAAATCATTTATGGGGGTAGGAGTTCAACCCCCTCCATTGCGCCAGCCTTGTACGTAATCCACAAAATTTGTGTTGAAATAAAAATCGTCTTTTTATTAATCTTGTGACGTTGTAGTATCAAGATTATCAGTTAATTTTTCCCATGTTTCACTAGCAACAGATTCAAAATTCAGCATTTTGCACATAACACCTTTACGTGATAAAAATACTTCCCAACGATTGGTTTCGATAGTGATATAGTTCTTTTCTATTTGATAAGTCATTAAAAACACTTACAAAATACGTCTTCTGTAAATCAACATTTAGATTTTTATATTAAATATAAAATCCGGGCTAAATGCTTTTTTTTGATATTATAATTTTTGGTTTGACATTAAAGTGTGTTCAATGTATCTATGTGCCCAACACTTCGCAGTAAAAACCGGCCTCCATAGTGAATATCATTTAGCTTGATTTGATTTGTGTAGTATTTGGCACACAATATCTTTGGTACTTAGCCCGGATTTCATATTCAGTCTTCTATTATTACTTGACAGTACCGAATTCTGGTTCAAAACAGTTTGAGATAAATTTTGAAGTCATCAGCCTAATGTTTTGAAGCTTATTTAACAAACTGCGGTGTAAAAGGCAAATGTAGTTGTTGTGTTTAGCACACTTTGAATGATTTTTAATCTCAACTCTTTTAATATCTCCACCATATACTGTAAAAAACATATGTCAAAGATATGCTATCTGCTGAAGTAATGGGTGATGCGGAAGTTATTGTACAAACCTGAATTTAATTATTTGAACATAATAGTTTGTTTTTATAGTTTATGCGTAGGCGTTCTATAAAATATAAACTTTATTATTTGAAACAAAATTATTTAAAATGAGGTTAAATGCAGCTGAACGAGAATCTTTTTGAAAGCGACTCAAAATGTTTTTTTGTAAACAAACCTAATATATACGAAACTTGTCATCAATCGAAAAGGGCTCAGTTAGAGAAAAATAGGTTTTAAATTCGGTGTCGATGGAAAATTGGTCGTCAGTTAAAAAAAAATGAATATTAAATATAGAAAAATTGAAAAGACTCCAAAACACACAATAGAAAAACAATTACAGGGAAAGAAAAGAAGCTAACCAACTCTATAACACAAAATCGCTTCTGGCCATCGATGACAAAAAGTACTTTTGTTTTGCAGAGGACTTCTGGAAATTCTGGATACTAAAAAAACAACAAAAAAACAGCCCATTGTTCGTTTTATAGTTCTCATTATTCTAAAGATTCTCTAAATTAAATGGACCAAAATGTCTATTATGTTGATAAAGAATCCAATCCCCCAAATGTGCCTCAAGCACAACCAATTTTTTTTTTTTAATTTTTATTTAGGTGCCCCAAGAAGTCCTTACGGTCTTATCACAGAGCACCGCGAATGAGCATTTAATTAAAAGTTCACGCCTCCCAGACAGCAAGCTTACATTGGCCCAATGTAAGTTTTAACATTGGCAAGTTTATTCCGTTGGGCCAACATTTAGCCAATGTTTTTTTTCGGCGTATTTTTTTCAATTCTGCAAATCTGTTTTTTGCAAATATCGTACTATATTGGGCCAACATTTCGCCAATGTTTTTTTTTCGGCGTAATATTGCAATTCTACAAATCGGTTTTTTTCAATTATCGTACTATGTAGTTTGGGCTGTTCTTTTTGGGCTGTAGTTTTGCTGTTCTTACATTTATACCGTAGCCAATATTCGGCCAATGTAGTTTCGGATTATTATATACTTTTAAATTGTTTCCAAACATTTTTTAAAAATGGTATCGTTTGACAGAATAAAAAAAGGTTTTGATACTATTATATATCTTTCCATTTATTTAAATTATAAAAATAAAAAAAAGAAGCTATATTTATTAATCTTCTAATAAGAAGTAAATTTTATCTTCTAATCAGATTGTTAATCTTCTAATAAGAAGTAAACTTCAAGAGATTCTCGTGACTTAATGTTTTATTTTTTTAAATGAAATATTTGTTAACATTTAAATAATATGCTTAAACCATTTTTTACTACAATCTAAATTATTAATGTAATAATAAAAGCAATAATCAAATTACTTTTGTGTAAGATCTTAAAGTTATTTTTTTATTTTTATTGCTGTATTGGCATTTCAAATGTTTGTTTTATTTAATAATCTTTATTAAATTTAATTTATTAAATTTTATTATTATTTTATAAAATTTATTATTATTATTTACAAATAAATGAAACATTTCAAATGTTCGATTTATTTAATAAAAACGATATTTTAAATGCCTTCTTTATTAAATAAATCAAACATTTAAAATGTCATACAGTATAATTTTTTTTTTCATTATTTATAATAGTTTAGATCCTATAGCTATTATAAGATATATTGTTAAAGGTATCAATAATATATATGTGGCATTGAAGTTGTTAGAAGCTGATATTTTACATTTTAAATATGTTTCTTTTGTTTGATTTTTTCTGTGTTTGATTATGAAACCCCATCTACTAACATATTAAAACAGTGTACAAAAAGTGATGTTACTAGAACTTATATTTTACTTATGTAAAGCTTTCTAATATTCCATCTTTCCGAGGCAGAGGGACATTATTCTTGGTTTAATTATTTTTTAATTTAATATCTCTGGATATTTTTCATATTTAGTTTGCGTACAACAGTTAACAACTTTAAGCTTATACATTAACTTTAGTTATAACTTAATTAATAATGATTTGATTTATAGATTTTTAAAGCAATACAAGATTGAATTTAGCATAAGGCTACATTTCTGCTCTGGAGACAAAAAAGGAAGACAGCAAAAATGACCAGTCAAAATAAAGATTGAAGAGACAAAAAATTGTGTATATCTTGGTGTAGATGATTTATCCTCATTTTTTTATAATAAAACAAAAAATATTATTAAACTTTAGGATTTACCTGTAACTCCAAAATCTTTACAGAAGTTTAATGTTTGCTCTGAGAAGTTGAATGAACAAATTTATTAAATGGTAAGTGTCTAATGATTGAAAATCTTTATTCATAGCTTTAACTTTTACAATTTTAAAAACTTTTTCATATATCACGGTCAAAAAGTCAGAGTTTTAATTAACATTTTAGTATGTAATAATCAAAATATCAAAGCTTACACCACAGGCTTGGTCAGGAAGCGGGAGCGATCGCTCTTGAATACTGACCACAGAAAATATATTTAGTTGCGAAAAACTGGCCAGGTTTTTTAGTTGTTTTGAGAACATTTAAGTTTATGAACGTAACAAAAATTTTTTGTTGGATTTTAAAGTTGGTGTCACCAACTTTGAAAACCATTTGAAATCAAATGTTGAAAAAAACAACAGTATTTGTATTTATATCAGTATTCATATCAGTTTAAAGTTTTAACAGTTGCTGGTGATTCATTATTATTCATTATATAAACATTTATTTAAATTTATCTAATAGACGAAGGTAATACAATATTTTTATAGATGAAATTATTTTTAAAAATAGTGTTATTAAAATTCAGAACTAAAATATGTAAAAAAAATTATTTACATTGGACAAGGTCCGTGCTGTACCTTGAAAATCTGGAAAATTTGTTAATATTGGCTAAAGTCGTGGAAAACCTGGAAAAGTCAGGAAATTATTTTTTTCTTTAGATAGTCATGGAAAAATCAGTAATTCTAGTTAAGAAGTTACTCGTTTCACAAATGAACGCTGTATTTGAAAACGTGATAAGTCACACTTTTTTTAAAAGTGAGGTTATTTGAAAAGAATATTTTTTTGAAAATATTCTTTTCAAATAACCTCACTTAAAATAAAAAAAATATTAAGATAAAATAAAGATTTTTTTAGATAAAATAAAGATTTTTTTAGATAAAATAAAGATTATTTTAGATAAAGTAAAGATTTTTTTTAGAGAAAAGAAACAATTTTTAGATAAAATAAAAATAAAATTTTTTACAGGAGAAATATTTTTCACTCCCTTGTAAAATTTTAATTTTGTGACTTGTCACATTTTCAAAATCCAACGCTCAATTAAGCTATTATGTTTTTTTTGGTGCTACCCATTTATTTTTTCTGAAACTTATGTTTTTCTTAGTGTTCATTCTTAGTCGTCATTGAAGTACAACTTGGTAAACTACAAAACACATCAAATTCAGTTATAAAAATTTGAGTAACAAAGGTATACTAATTATTGTATTGCCTGAAAAAGTGTCATTGCTATTAAAAGCAGTGAAGAATTCAAGTACTCTGGAAGAAAAGAAAATACGTAAGTAAATGGTAAATATTTGTTTATAATTTTTTTATGCATTTTGTATATCTTAGTACAATTTATATACTTTAAATAAAATACTCTTTAAAGATTTTTTGTAAATTACATTTTATATTAATTTAAGTCTAAATAAAAGTTACTTTAATTATTTGCCAGGTTGTGTATTTTTGCATCGATTATTGCCAGGTTGTGTATTTTTGCATTGCCAGGTTGTGTATTTTTGCATCGACTTTCAACGTTGGGCCAATGCATCATCATGCATTGGCCCAACGTTGGTCCAATGTAAGCTTGCTGTCTGGACTCCTTCTTAACCGATTTTGCAAGACTTGCCCAGAGGTGGGGCTTGAACCATAGATCCTTTGTTTCTGAAGCAAGTGTACTACCACTGCGCCACGGCTGCTCAATTGAAAACTTTTGGGGGAATTTGGCACAGAAGGTTTACGAGGGAGATTGGCTTCAACAGAGCCGGTTTTGAATAATCATATTAAATCAAAACTAGAAGAAATCAATTGAAATTTTTTGCTTGAAAGAAAGGCGTCAGGCGTCCTTGAAAGAAAGGCGTCAGGCGTCCTTGAAAGAAAGGCGTCAGAGCAAAATTGTGATTAAGAGCAGATGGTGTTTTTTGATTTAAGAAATGGTTTATTTTTATTAAAAGATAAATAGTTTATTTAAATAAATATAATAGTTTTTTTTTTCATTTATAAATAAATTATTGACGTTTTTATTTTGACCGATAACTTACTCACATCACCCTTTAGACGGTCAAACAGTTGCTTTATCAATAATGTTATTAAAAGTTCATATATCAGTTATGCAAGATTAAAAAATTAATTAGTAAATTCGTATATTATTTTTTGAATTTTGTGTTAATGAAGAAGTTGATAAATTTGGTTGCAAATCACCCTATACCTGCTTGCCTTTTCAACTTTTAGCTCCTTCTTGCATTGATAATGATACTCTGAACAATCACAAATGGAATATGATGGAATATTACCGAGCCCAGTATTACCAGATACTAGACGTTATAGAAAGTCAATTAAATCAACGGTTTTTAGAAAGTTCAATGGAATTATTAAACGCTTTAGAAAATTTATTATTAATTTAAAAAATTTATTAAAAATTTATTATTAATTTAGAAAGTTATTATTATCAATTGCAAATGGTGATACGGACATAAAAGCTTCAGATATAAAATTTTTCTATAAAAATGATATAGTTTATGATAAATTAAAAGCTGAACTCTTTCTGTTTATATCTATTAAGGAAACTTATGTTACTAATATTACATTTAAAATGAACATTAAACAGGTAACATCAATCTATATGTGATATATATGTTGAACGACACTAAAGTAGTCTCAATAATGTTTTCTGAAATATCAAAACTTCTATAAATTTAATTGGCGATACCATTGACAACGAGCACAGCCCAGCGATCTTTATTGCATCTAAGAATAATGTTGTCATAGAGTCGATCAACCTCGACTCAAAAGCTATTATTGTATCATCTTCTGCTTTTTTAATTTTATAAATTGGAAACCTTGAAAATAGATCTAAAAGCTATATCAAATACTTTGTTACTTTAAAAAACATTAAATTTAAATTGTAATATACTCTTTTAATTTTAGTTTGCGTAAGCCTGAAATAAATATATACGACGTTAAATTTTGATCAAATATGTTTGTAGTTAATATTATATTTTGTTGAAAATGGATACATGTGGTTTTCTTTTAAGATTAACTTAAACTTTTTACTAGTTTATTATAACTTGCACAATATTTATACCAACCACCACCCACCGCTCTCTCCCCATTTTTACTGAAAGTAAAAAATAATTGTATGGTATACCAAGCTTAACAAAAAAAGGTTCCAATTCAATAACTCAAACATTAAATAAAATAATAGATGAAATTTATAAATAATTCACCTTCCTTAATAAAGTTCTATTAAGAGCACTTTTTCCGAATTGCATAATTCAATAAATCATACTTGTTTTGAATTCATGTAAGAACTCATTTTCATGTAAGAATTCATTAGGCAGTTAATTTTTCAAGAGATCTAAAAACACTAGTATTAGAAGAGGTTTAATAAACAATAGCACACATAATTTTTTTTTACTTGTCGTCAGTTGCAATTAATACATTGCAATTTTGCAATGTATTAATACATTGCAATTTTGCAATGTATTAATACATTGCAATTTTGCAATGTATTAATACATTGCAATTTTGCAATGTATTAATACATTGCAATTTTGCAATGTATTAATACATTGCAATTTTGCAATGTATTAATACATTGCAATATTGCAATGTATTAATACATTGCAATTTTGCAATGTATTAATACATTGCAATTTTGCAATGTATTAATACATTGCAATATTGCAATGTATTAATACATTGCAATTTTGCAATGTATTAATACATTGCAATTTTGCAATGTATTAATACATTGCAATTTTGCAATGTATTAATACATTGCAATTTTGCAATGTATTAATACATTGCAATTTTGCAATGTATTAATACATTGCAATTTTGCAATGTATTAATACATTGCAATATTGCAATGTATTAATACATTGCAATTTTGCAATGTATTAATACATTGCAATTTTGCAATGTATTAATACATTGCAATATTGCAATGTATTAATACATTGCAATTTTGCAATGTATTAATACATTGCAATTTTGCAATGTATTAATACATTGCAATTTTGCAATGTATTAATACATTGCAATTTTGCAATGTATTAATACATTGCAATTTTGCAATGTATTAATACATTGCAATTTTGCAATGTATTAATACATTGCAATTTTGCAATGTATTAATACATTGCAATTTTGCAATGTATTAATACATTGCAATTTTGCAATGTATTAATACATTGCAATTTTGCAATGTATTAGTACATTGCAGTTTTGCAATGTATTAATACATTGCAATTTTGCAATGTATTAATACATTGCAATTTTGCAATGCACTAATTCCTTTAATTATAAATCTTCCTTTGTTCATCATCTTTTCACCCCAAAGAATTTTTTTTTCCACCCCAAAAATTTTTTGTCTGTACTTTTGAATTATAATGTCCTAATCTCATTCACTTCTGAAAATTACTAATCTCATTTTCTTCTCAAAATATCATATTCTCAATTCCTTCTCAAAATGTTCTAATCTCATTCCCTTCTCTAAATGTCCAACACAGTCAAGTTTTGTATACGAACATTATCACCTAAAACTTTTAAAAATACAAACTTGTATCTCCAATACCAAGTAAGAACTATACATTAATGATTATTTTTCAACAATGAACTAAAATCTACGATGACACTACCAGGCTTTATTCTTCCTAAGTTTCCAATAAGTTTCCAATAAGTTACCAATAAGTTACCAATAAGTTACCAATAAGTTACCAATAAGTTACCAATAAGTTACCAATAAGTTACCAATAAGTTACCAATAAGTTACCAATATGGCATTTTCAATGTTTTATTTTTAATTCTTGATATACAGGTTTTCGAATATCCATACTCCACTTACTTCATCCTTCAAGTAAATAAACAGATATTTATGCATTATAAATACCAGTTATAATACTGGTGGTAGATGTATAACTATTTTTTTACCTGGTGCTAGCACGTCACATTATTCACAGAATTATAAGTAACTTTTGATATAATTTATATAAAATACCATTGATTACATTATATCGTTGAAGAAAAATGCTTGGTGGCATATTCATCAAGATACCAGATTTTTTTCTTGACTGACAACCAATATATAGAGTCTTTTTTTTTTCTGTATAGTTTAACAAGGCTTTGATGATAGATCATATGGAAATCCATACCGTTTATCTAGAATGTTTTCGAGAAAATTTTAGAACCTCATTCAAGATGTTTACCAACATCTGCTAGGATATCTTTGAAAAAAGTAAAGTTTATAAGAGTATTATATTCATTGCTTGGGGCATCTATCTAGGTTTAGAAACACTGTTATATCTAGGTTTAGATATAACAGTGATATGTTATATCTAGGTTTGTTATACAGATATGTTATATCTAGGTTTAGAAACACTGTTAATTGTTTTTTTAAAACTTCTGCAACCAGAAAATTTCATTGAATGAAACAACTTTTTTTGAGCGGAAGGTCTGTAGTGTGCTAATAACCACGCAACTTTTTATTTAATTTTATCTGTTTTGTTGAATCATTTTTATTTCAAATATAACAACAATAGCAATAAATAAATGGGTAGTATCACTTTCTAAATTATAAAAACTGCAAAAAAACAACTTTATTTTAACGTCGCAAAGAATATTGTCTTAAAATATGGATTTTAAAAATTCTAATAGTGTTCATATACTTCTTCAGCCTAAATATTACTTTTCTCAACTTGATTATACAAATTGTCTAACTTGAAATGGCTTCAATCATAAGGTTGTAACAACTTAACAATTAACAAGAAAGTTATGTTGTACATTGTTAATTTTCCATCTTAAGAAAGTTATGTTGTATATTGTTAGCTTTCCATCTTTAGAAAGTTATGTTGTACATTGTTCACTTTCCCTCTTAAGAAAGTTATGTTGTACATTTTTAACTTTCCATCTTAAGAAAGTTATGTTTTACATTGTTCACTACAAGTTAGTTAAGATATAAATAATTAAGATATAAATAATTAAGATATAAATAATTAAGATATAAATAATAGGATCATAAGCAGACTATATTTAACCACTTAGAAAACTAGGAGGTCGCAACCTACGTTAAAAAAGTAAAAAAAAAAATGCAAATGTTTTCAGTGATAAATTAAATATAAAATAATAATATGTAAAATAATATACATTTTTTGATATAAAAAAATGTATATTATTTTACATATTAATATTTTATATTTAAAAACACAAATCAAAAAACACAAATCAAAAAGCATTTATTTAGTTAAACGGTAAAAGGTTGTGCAATAAAATGCATTGTCAAAATTTTGTAATTCTATTTTAAGATTAATAATAGTCCATAGAAATATTATTTTTTAGTTTCCGTTGTTATTTTAATCCCCAATGGCAGAGAAAAGACGTTGTCTGTTACACAGTTGTGTAGCAGACAATTCTTTTATCTCTGTCATATTTTCTCGTTTTCTGTCTGCAGTGGGGATTATTGTGGGGATTGAAATAACGACAAAAACAACAAAAATAATAAAATTTGTATGGCTTAAATTAATCTTAGCTCAAGGGAACCTACTAAATATTTACAGTCTTGAAGTAGGTAGTGGAAGTTGGGGTACAGTGGATCGAGGGGCACAGTGAATAAGAAGCATTTTCTCAAAGATTAGATTTTTGTTCAACTTAATAATGTAATCATTTTATTTGCTCGCCATCACCAGCCATTACCATTATCGTTACCTTTACCAGCCACCTTTATTTATAGTTGTTACCACATAACTTTTGACTACCAGGTTTTGGTAGGCTATTTTTGTTTTTAGCTAACTAAAGTAAATTTTCTTACCTTCCTTATGTTTGTTATGGAAATCATGGTTAAAATAGTTTTAAAAGTTAAAGTTTTTCATTTAGATTATTAATATTTATGCTTCTTTTTAGTAGTTTAGCTTTTCCTTTAACAACACTCATGTCCCAAAAAATTAAAATTAAACTCAATTTGTTATGGTGGGGCACAGTGAACCGGGGTACAGTGAATCGGTTGATTCACTGTGCCCCATTAAAGATCTTAATGATTAAATTTATGCATTTTTAACAAACAAACTACATGAAAGTGAATTTTTAGTTTAAAGTTATGAACAATAATACTTGAATAAGTTTTTAACTTTTTAATTTTTTTTTTTTTAAGTTTTTTGTTATCAATAAAATTCTTTATTTTTTCTTCTCAATTTTCAAAATGTCTATTTTTTCGATTTTATACTAATGTAATAAACAAAATTATGCTAAAAGTATAGTGTACAGCGTCTTTACTCCCTCAGCCTCAAAGTTATTTGACTATGCTCCTATTCACTATCATTAATTCATAGCTGTGTTCATTGATTCACTGTGCCCCAGTACTGGGGTACAGTGAATAACGTAACACAACTCACTTTAAACCTTTCTATGAGTCGTTATAAAATGAATATTTTGGTTTTGATGATTTTTTATCATGAAGGACATTTATCTCAATCTTTTTGGCTTGAAAAAAATAAAATACATATTTTATATTTTTCTCAGTTTAAAAAATAAAAAAATCCGATCCACTTCCCCTACAAGCTAATACTTTTTGCCCAACCGTTTGCCATTTAACCAAATAAATTCTATTTGAATTGCGTACACATGATTTAACTAACAAATTAGCTTATATCTAGATTTATGCTAGATATAAGACATATTAGATATGTACTTAATAGATAAATATAAGAACCCAGCTTTTTATCTATTTTTATATACTGCAGATTTATAAACGATAGGCTGAAAATGAAGTATTTAAACTTTAAAATAAAAATTTACTTTATAATTTTGCTTCAATAAGTGTCATGCCCAGGGGCGATTCTACAAGTGTGTAGTGGTATGTGTCACCCCCCCCCCTCCTCTCTCAAAGAAGGCGATTTTAAAGTTGTAGTCAGTTCGTTAAGGAATATAGTCAGCTAATCGGGTGTTTTACACATTTCAGTCAGGTGATTTTTAGTTTTAAGAACATTTTTTATCAGAAAGAAGTTATTAATTTAGAAGGGTTCGCCCCCCCTCCATCTTTCCTCCATTATTTTTTCCTAGAATCGCTCCTGGCTACGCTATATAAGTAAACACTTAAAATGTAAAACCGAAAAGAATGAGAATGAACAAAAGAAATGTGTAAAAAAAAAAAAAAAAAAAAAAAAAAAAGAGAGATTGTTTTTATTTTTTTTCATTTGCTTTTATTTTTTTTTACTAATAATAATAATAATAATGAAAAATAGTTTAATGAGCAATTTTAAAATTTCGATTATCGAAAACTAAAAAAAGCTTTAGGCAACACTAAACAAAATAATTCTAAAAAACTAAGCGAACAAACTAAAAGAGAGATTGGACATGAAACGTTATCACTTTTAATTTTAAAAAAATTAAAAAAATAAAAACCTGGATTTGAAATTGAAATTCCTTCATTTTTCATATGCTTTAAAATAATTTTCCAATTATTCACATAATCTTCATCTCCGTCGATAATATTTTCTTGTAGCTTTTTCCCGCTTAATATTTCAAGCAAGATTATCAAATAAACTCCATCTTGAAGATCAATGATTTTATCAATTTCAAAGCCTTTTGATTTCAAAAAAAGGTTGCACCAACGAATAAATGCTTTTTCTTGAATTTGAGAATCCTGTGAGCGAAACGATTTTTGCTCATCTAAGTTTTTCTTTTTTCTCATTTTATTGCTGTAAATTATAAGAAAAGTTGAGTCAGAACGATAATAACTTTTTTCTTTGCGCTATGTTTTTTTACTTATAATTTTTGTATTTTCGCATAAGAGTCAGGAAATGGTTTGTATAATAAAAAACTAATTCTATAAAAATTTTTATAATTAAAACTTAAAGCGCGAATTAAAAAACCATCTGTTTTCGAATTAAAAGAATATATTTTTTATTTATTTTATTCTATAAAACATATTTTTACAACAACAAAAACGTTTTAATGGTATCTGTATACTTTATAATGCTCCGTATTTCGTCTCGATAATACGTATTGTGGACATAATACGTCCATAATACTCAATATTATCGTCGCTTCTAATTGGCTTTTATAGGATATTATGGATACTTTGGATTCATATTTAAATCAAAATTTTGGGCGCTTCTGATTGGCTTTTATCTTTTATTAATTTTTTTTTTCAATTCATAACATTAAAACTTAACAAAATGTTTGCAAATACTATTGTTTTTTTACAGTTTTTTTTTAAAGCTAGAATTGAAACAACAAGTGATAAATAGACTAATCGATAATACCGTACTTAAAATGTTATGGTTTCCATTAATCATACGATTAGTTACTATTTAAAAGATATATTAAAACCAGATTCTTTGGCTGAGGCGTGAATGTTGGTTCCAACATTCACGCCTCAGCCAAAGAATCTGGGTCAAAGCACGTTTGAACCACCACGAGAGGACAAAAAAATTCATTTTATTTCTTTTTTTTAAATTAAATATAATTTTTCATGTATAATAAATATAATATAATAAATGTAATAAATAGAATAAAAACTTTCTTATTTAAATCTGTAGTTACATAGATTTCTTATTAAATTTATTTAACAAAACTGATTTTTTTTTTAACTTAAAAAAAAAATCCCTTGCGGTATTTTAGACCAACTCCTCAGCAAATAAAATTAATATTCGTGAGGAACAAATTCATGATATTCCCTACTTTTATTATTATATTTTCTCTTTATCACCCGGTAGTAAATTACAGGTAAAATAATATTTAAATAGTCAAACAATAAATTAAAAATCAGCTAAAACAACACGGCTCTTGTAGTTGTTAGCAATAAATGCTGATAAACAGCTGGTTTGTTTTCCACATATTATTGGGACAGAGTTCTAGGAACATTCTCCTTCATCAAGATTTTAAACACCTCTCTCTTTTCTTTCAAATTCCAAAACTGGAACGTTTCTTTCAATATTAGCATAACATTAGTTTGTAGCTCTACGATGGGTTGCGTCAATTTAATTTTTTTGCCATTTAACATGTACTGTATGAATTTAAATCAAGTGTGTTGCATGCATCAAATACTTCGTTTGTAAAGGATTTTTTATTAATTATCAGTGAGTAACAAGTTTGATTTTTCAGCAGCCTGATAAAAAGATTAACTTTGTTCCTATGGAGAATAGTTGAGGTATCTTCTATTTTAAAAAAAGAATGAAGGTAATTTTTACTGTACTTCGAAATACAAAAAAATGATTTTAAGACTGCTCTTCCAACAGCGTCTATTTTGCTGAGAAAATTAGTATCATATTTACATAGTTCAAGGCCATATATAAGCTTCGGCACTGTTAATGTATTGTACAGATGAACAATTGTTGATGGCTGGCAGTAACGAATCCTACTGTCAATTAGAGCTTTTGCAACTGATTGAAACTGAGTTATACGCTCAATTAAATTTTTCTTTCGGAGTGTTGCAATTTTATTTTTGCTGGTATCGTTATCCCATTGGAAACCCAGATGTTTTAATTTATTTTGAAGATATATAGAAACTCCATTAATTTTAACAACGTTGTTAGGAATATAACTTTTTCCAGAAATCAGAAATTCTGTTTTCTCAGTGTTTAGCTTGATAAAGTTTGCTACTCTATATATTTGAAATCTGTTAATCAGTTCCTGCAGACCAGAGATTGTGGGGCTTAGCAAAATTACATCATCTGCGTATGCAATTACACCAGTATAAATTCCATTTATTGTCGATCCTACTTTACATTCTGAGACAATTTCATTTAGGATGCTTTCAGTATAAATGTTATATAAATGCGGCGATAGAATAGACCCTTGTCGCACCCCTTGTGATAGACTGAATTGATTTGAGGTAACACCTTGATAGGATATGTTTGCAGAACCAGAATGATAAAGGGATGATATTGTGTGTACTACAGACAACGGAAGTTTTTTTTGGAAATACAGCTTCTCAAATAGCAAATCCCAGTTGCAAGTATCAAAAGCTTTATTAGCATCTAAACTGCACATATATAAAGGCGTGTTATTGTTTTTATAGTGCTTAACAGTTTCGCTCAGTAAAAATTCTGCGTGGAGTGTAGAACTGTTTTTTTTAAAATCAAATTGATAGTAATGGCTATCTGTTATACTAGGACATATTCGTAGTATTAGATACTCTAGAAGTTTAGTAAAGATAGGTAAAATACTAATTCCTCGATAATTATCTGGATTATTAAGAGATTTTTTATATGACTTAATAAGTGGAATAATTGTTGAAGTTGATAGATCATTTGGTACTTTTCCATTCGATAGAATACTGTTATAAAATTGAACGAGCCACAAAAGAGGATTATTATAATGAGAGTTTTTAAGGTGTTCAGCACTTAACCCACAGCTATCTGGGGACTTATTACTATTTAATTGTGAGATGCAATTTATAATATCAGCTGATGTTATGATTAGTGAATTAGGCTCTTTACTTAGAGGTGGAATTTGAGAAGGATTATGGTTATTATTTGAAATAAGAGGCGTATTGAGAAGAGTTTGAAAATGTTGTCTAAATTCTTGAACGATATCTTTTATATTTTGCGATTTGTTAATTGTAAATAATCGAGTTGTTGCTTTAGTTTTGATTTTACGGATGTTATCCCAGAACCTCTGAGGATTAGTGGTTCGAATATTTTCAATATTTATAGTTTTTTCGTGGATCTTTTTGTTATAAGCTGCTTTAACTGCTTTACGGAAGTTTTTGCGTGAAAAGATGTTTCTTTTGTATTCAATGCATTCTTGTGTTTTATTATAATCAGATTTTTGCCATTGTTTATAGTTAAATGAAAGATTTTCTTTGCATTTTTTAAGGTCCGTTGTCCACCATGATTTGGAATACTTACAGATTTGTTGTTTAAAGCATTGCTTAACTGCTAACAACGCAGCATTTTGGATTTTTTTGCATGTTTTTTTTAATTCCTGTTCAATTTCTTTCTCATTGAAGGTGTAGTAGTTGAAAGCTACGGAGAGGTTATGATTATATACGTTAATGAATTTTTTGTTATTCCATGCATGTTTTGGAATATAATTATATTTATGCAATATGCTATTTATTACGGTTGATAGATTAGTATGTGTAACGACGATATTTGTAGCGATTGGTAAGTGATCACTAAAATTAAAAGGAGAAGGAGGAATAACGCTTGTATTTATAAAAGATAAGGATGACTCTTTAAGAGCTGCGATGTGATCGATATACGGTGAGTTAGATAGAGTTTTATGCTGATAGGTGTATGTTGGACCAGCGCCACTGATTATATCGATAAATGAGAGCTTATTTGATTTAATGAAATTAGTTAGATGATTAGAGAATTTATTGCGTTTTTTATTATTACGGATCTCAGAATCGTAAAGTGTTTCGGGATAAGACTGAAAATCTCCAGCAATAATACATTCACTTACATCTTCGTCGTTTTTTACGATTGAAGTGATTAGGTTTAATTGTTGTTAGTATTTTGAAAGGGATTCCACGTTATTTCGACATGATGTGAGATAAATACCAATAAAGACTAGATTGTGACACTTATTTTTACTTTTAATAGCGAGAATATTGTCATCTTCATAAATTATGTGAGGAGACAGTAAAACATCTTTTTTAATAATGAATGCGTTTCCTCCAAATGATCTTCCAAATGCTTTTTTTTCTGCCGCATGAAAAAATACTTTATGTGTCGGCAATGCTATGTTTTTTAGAACAAAAAGTTCAATATTCAAAAGCCAATGTTCCGATAGAAAAATAATATCAAATGACCAGTTCGGAAATATAAATTGAGTTCGATTTAAAACTTTGGCAGTTATATGCACAAAAAGAAATATTTTCAAAGGTTTTACTTTCTATGTTTCCTTCCATTTTGAATTAAAGTTTAGTATTCGAGTTGAGTAAGAATGTTGCTGTGCACTCTGCTGTGGTGTTTTGTTTCTTGAGGTAACACGATGAAGCCTGAATGGTTTAACGATAATATTAGTATTCCAAATATCAGGGTTTAGGATTATGTCTTTTTCAGTACTTTTTATGATAACTTTGAATGAACGATTGTATTTATTTTCCCGGTTAAGCTCTACCTTAATAGGCTCAATACCAATTTCATTTTTGATGTGGTTAGATAGATCTTCTTCCGACATTGAGTTACAGACCCCTCCTACAAAGATATAAGATTCTTGCACCGTACGTTCGCCTGCAATAGAGTTTCTGTTAAATGCAACTTTTTTTCCAAAAATAGGCTTCATTATAGACCTTTTTGTTGGGACTTTATTTGTTGCATTGTTGTTTTTTTTTGACTACCATAAAGGAACAATCATTTTTTTTCCAGTCCTCTCTTTTTTCAATAATCGGTGGCTGCATTTGAACCTTTTTAGCATAGGTGACTCTATTTTGGTTTCCGTTTTCGTATGTTTTAAACTGGACTCCATAATGGTAGTCTCATCATGAAAGAAATGTAAAGGTATATTATTTAAAGTATTTTCATTATTTGAGGAATGATTTTCTATTGAATCAGAGACAAAAGATTTTTTAGTATTTAGCGGTTTTTGAAATGATAAATTACTGCAGCTGTTTGAAAGCAACGTGTTTTGATTTTTTTCGATTTTTTTGCACGTTTGCTGCAATTCATCATATTTTTCTTGTAATAAATGTAGGTCGTCTCTAATTTTCTTGTTTTCTAATTTTATTGTTTTAACGCAATCGACGAGTTCTTTTAAGGCGACAACAGGCTTACATCATGTAATTGTTGACTATTTTGTTTGCAATTAGATACCAATTTATTAAAATCTTTGTGAAGCTGTTTTTCTGTTATTGATATCGACATCAAATATATGTCATCTAGACATGTCGCAATTTTATAGCGCTTTCTAAGGTTTTTTCAA